TAAAAAACTACTAAAATTCGAGAAACAATTAATAGTTATGTAACCACACTAAATCATACAAAACAAAAAAAAAACGAAAATATCTGCTTTTTAACATATAATCATAAATAAAAACATATAATTATAAAAACAATCGACACATACCACAAAAATTGAATCTCTTCATTGTTAGGAGAAAACAGTGTTTGAGTTTGATGTCTGAAATGAAGGTGAATTTGAAATGAAACCCCAAATAAAAGTGAGTTCAAAATGTTATTTATAAGGGAACCATATTACTGGTCAGATCACCATACCTATTTACCCATTTTAGAATATGGGGTTGAAATAGGTATTTTGGACCGAATGTACATTTTTCAATAATTATTTTTTTGTAGTTATTTAAAAATAACAACCATTTTGTGAAATATTGATGTACATAGCTAAATAATACAAAAACAAAAGGCATGTTTATGCCTTCATAGATATCTTTAATTTCACCTTTCTTTAGGAAAAACTTTATTTGCCAGGAAAAGGTTAATAGTTAAAGTTTTTAGATATAAAAGACACTTGTCCCTTGATATCATTAGATCTGAATCTTTGATTAGATTAGAGGGAATGAATTCGGCAAAGGGCTCAACAAAGTTGAGTTGGCTTGGCAGACGCCGCATCAAGAGCTCGACATCTCTCTCTCTCTCTCTTCAAAATTTTACCTATCTTTTATTCTATTCAAATAACCACAATTATTATCAATGTTTACCACTTTTAAATCTTCATATCTCAAACCTGTTGGGTTTTAGCCATAAGAACTTTCCTATGTGCGCATGCAAAACCCTATTGCTTGGATCTAGGCTTTCTAATAAACATGCTTTTGAATCCAAGACTTCTAATGGCTAATTAGGTTAAACAACAATATTAAAACAGATCTAGAATCATACCTTTGAATCCCTTGTTGATCTTGTTTGTCTTGGAGCTTCTAGAGTCACAATTGTCACTCCTCTAATGGCTTACAAACACCAATAGCAAGCAAGATGATTTAGGAGAGAGGAGAGGGGATGGAATTCGACCAGAGGTTCCTTTCTTCAGGTTCTACAAGGTTGTACACGAATTCCCCATCCCAAGGGCCTATTTATACCTTTAGACTCCTTAAGGGTTTCACCCTAAACCCTAATTGGATAATCTTCTCTTAAGGCTATCCAAATCCATTCCATAGATATCCCTATGGACGATTTTGAGCTATCCTAAAGCTCTTAGAATCCGTCCAAGGTGTATCCTAATGGATTGATAGTCTAAAGTCTAACTATCAAACAATTGACAGTTTATACCCTCTTATTTAATTAATCCCTTTAAGTCACCAAATTAATACTAATTAATTTATGACTTATATTAATCAAATAGCTAAATATTATTCCTTATAATATTCACTCTCTCTTAACAAATCATCCTTCAAGTTGCTATGGTGAAGGCAACCCAAAAGGACCATGCACCACCGAATATAGTTATAGCCTTAAACACTATTCCAACAAAACCTTCAACTGTAATTTTACCTTTCTCAAATCTCAACTCCATCTTAGCAATATGAATGCTCCAAGTAGTGGGAAGTCTGTGATAAGACCATGAAACCCAATAAAAGAGACAACTTTGGCCGGTGCATGAGATTGTGAATCGGAGGGCCATACTGTCGGCAACACACTCAATGAGGGGAATTTTAGACGAGACTTACCACACATTTTCTCATCGAAATGAATTAATGTAATTATTGTTCGAAAGATCAGATGTACGCAAAATGGAAGTCCACGAACAGAGTTGTATCGGATTTTAACACTTTGTTTATTAATTTGAGACTCATTATGTAGATGATGGTGAGAATGATGTAGATGCCATCATTTTAAGCAAAATTCTTCAAAATTTTCGATCGGGAAACGGAAAAGCTTTCAAATATTTGGAGTTTTGAAATGTTGTTAAGGAATCCATAAACGACTTCCAACGTAACACTAATTGTTATTTTTATGTTATGTTTTAATTTAGTGCTACTTTTCATTTTCAGATACTATTTTAATCTAATGAATTTTTTTTAAATGTTTTATTAAGTTAATGACTTGCCATGACAAATCAATATTTTCAAATGGGAAGTGATATTTCCCCTTAATAATTTGATCCATCTAATATTTCCACTTAATAATTTGGCCGGTGCATGAGATTGTGAATCGGAGGGCCATACCGTCGGCAACACACTCAATGAGGGGAATTTTAGACGAGACTTACCACACATTTTCTCATCGAAATGAATTAATGTAATTATTGTTCGAAAGATCAGATGTATGCAAAATGGAAGTCCACGAACAGAGTTGTATCGGATTTTAACACTTTGTTTATTAACTTGAGACTCATTATGAAGATGATGGTGAGAATGATGTAGATGCCATCATTTTAAGCAAAATTCTTCAAAATTTTCGATTGGGAAACGGAAAAGCTTTCAAATATTTGGAGTTTTGAAATGTTGTTAAGGAGTCCATAAAACGACTTCCAACGTAACACTAATTGTTATTTTTATGTTATGTTTTAATTTAGTGCTACTTTTTATTTTCAGATACTATTTTAATCTAATGTATTTTGGGTTTATTTATTTATTTATTTATTTATATTTTATTAAGTTAATGACTTGCCATGACAAACCAATATTTTCAAATGAGAAGTGATATTTCCCCTTAATAATTTGATCCATCTAATATTTCCACTTAATAATTTGGCCGGTGCATGAGATTGTGAATCGGAGGGCCATACCGTCGGCAACACACTCAATGAGGGGAATTTTAGACGAGACTTACCACACATTTTCTCATCGAAATGAATTAATGTAATTATTGTTCGAAAGATCAGATGTATGCAAAACGGAAGTCCACGAACAGAGTTGTATCGGATTTTAACACTTTGTTTATTAACTTGAGACTCATTATGAAGATGATGGTGAGAATGATGTAGATGCCATCATTTTAAGCAAATTCTTCAAAATTTTAGATCGGGAAACGGAAAAGCTTTCAAATATTTGGAGTTTTGAAATGTTGTTAAGGAGTCCATAAAACGACTTCCAACTTAACACTAATTGTTATTTTTATGTTATGTTTTAATTTAGTGCTACTTTTCATTTTCATATACTATTTTAATCTAATGTATTTTGGGTTTTTTTTTATATTTTATTAAGTTAATGACTTGCCATGACAAACCAATCTTTTCAAATGGGAAGTGATATTTTCACTTAATAATTTGATCCATCTACATGAGATACAATACATTTACAGCTATCGTACAAGTTGGCAAAACATATATTTCAAGTGGAAATATCACTTCAAAGTTGATATCACACCCTGTCTCCTTAACACACGACTAGATATATTTGAAAATTAAATTTTGTTTTTCATAACATAACAACCCCTCTTTCAAAAAAAGATACTCTTGTATAGAAATCAGGTCATGTCTTTTATAGAAGAAACCTCCCTTTGCAATAATCATGAGCTAAGTGTGAAATGTTAAAACGAGTTTACGTTTTTACCACTAAGATTGTTGTGTGCTACATTCATGACTTACTAAAGATTTCGGTATGTTTGGCAGCATTCCCACACGCCACAGGCAGCATAAATCTTGTGCTATCTCATGTGCGACAACCATGACATATGTCCCACAAACAAACCAACTCAAAACACCCTTTCACATAATGCAAATCCATTTTCCCAAAACACCCAATAAACAAATAATTATAAATAAACATATTAAACCATTTCCATCAAATATTATTATACAAGTTTATTACTCCCATCAACAAAAAAAACCCACTCTCTTTGTAGCTTCTCACACCAAAAAAACCCTACCCAACCTCTCACAAGATTTATGTGTTAATCTTTCCCTTTTCTTTCATATAACCACACCCCCTAATTATCTCCTCAAGTGTCTCCAAAACCCCACACTTCCTTCCTTCAATCCCTCCACCATGGCTGACACACATCGGGACCCACCGCCTTCAGACACCCGTCGAGGAGCCGGAAAACGAACCGCCACCACCGCCCCATTTGAAGCAGCAACATCCGAACCGGGATCAATCCCAAACCCTCCTTGTGGGGCATGCAAATTCTTAAGAAGAAAATGCGTCAACGGGTGCATCTTCGCACCCTACTTTGGGTCCGACCAAGGTGCCGCCCGGTTCGCGGCAGTGCATAAGGTGTTTGGCGCCAGCAACGTGTCCAAACTCCTTACGCACATTCCGGTGAACCGGCGTCAACATGCAGTCGTGACCATCTCTTACGAGGCCCAAGCCCGCTTGTCGGACCCAGTCTACGGTTGTGTCTCAACCGTCCTCGCTTTACAACAACAGGTACACAACTACAATGCAAATATGCATTTAATAGTAATACCAATTGTATTAAAAAACATAAATTGTTGTGTATGGAAAAAAACTGTTATGTACAAATTAGTTCCTTAAAACATATCTTTGTATATAATGTTTGTTGTGACAGGTGGCGGCATTGCAGACCGAATTAGCAATGGTGCAAAACCAACTGATAAACAATAGACTAATAGTGGCAAATGCGATTCAGAATTCACAACAACAATTGGAACCCATGCATCATCTTTCATTGTTGCAGCCTGCTTATTCAAATGCTTCTTCTGCTTCGAACAACAATATACTTAACATGAACAGCTTTGATTCTAGCTTGAATAATCTTGGAGATGATCATCAAAGTGGAGCACTTTCACAGAGTTTTAATCCTCTGCAACTATGTCAACCTTGTCATGATGAGGAAGATGATGATGAGGAAGAAAGTGGGGACCCTTTGGCCTTTGCCAATCAAATTCTCCAATCACGATGATTATTGATTTTATTTTTCAAAGTGGTCTTAACAATGATAATGCAATTATGACTTTAAGTTTGCATTTTCAGAAAATGGAATAAAAAGAACCTCTGTTTGATGTGGTTTTGTTTCTTTTTTAGATAATCTACACAGAACGACATAATGCTCAAACTTTGAAAGTTAATTTGATATAAAAAAGAAACAATCTTTTATATAGGTATACAAAGTTTTATACATCATTTACACATTCAACCACTTTATGTCTTTATCCATACAAAAAATACCTAAACTAACTTGATACAAGAAAATCATTTGATAATATTGAAGAATCTGTGATGTTTTCAAGAAAATGCCATACCTTGCTGACATCATGTATGTTCAGAAGGCATGATTCCTGTGCAACAACTGGTGCCACAAAAACACTTTGATCCATTTGGATTCAAACCAGAATCTCCATAACTGAAAGTGAGTTCTTGATCTTTTAATATATCTTCGGATGTAAAGAAGCACACTCGAGGTAATAAAGCACCTGAGTTTCTTACCAAAACTGTTGAAAGATTCCCACCATCACATGAATGGTTTATGAATCTTGCAATGTTGCCAATCTTTGTAGCATCAATGTTGATTCTCATACATGTATTTCCAGATGGAAGATGTTCTCTCACAACTAAAAGAGCTGATGTGAGTTTGTTTGTGGATTTGAGTTTATCATATATTTGTTGACGCTTTCTTGCTTCTTTTGTTGTCAAAAGTTCACCTGTCAAACAATTAGACTACCCATTTAATTATACTTTCATCCATTATGAGATAAACAATAAACAATATGGTTATGTATTAATGTATGTAGGTCCTTTGTGGGTGTTTTGGCTCATGAAACGCCCACCTAAAAGCCAACATATAATTGTTGTATGTCCATATTTACAGCAAGCAGCACATACTTAAGTGGCATGCCAAGAATTAGGACAATTGTGAAAGCTAAAATGGCACAAACCAATGAAACTAGATTGGATTGCAATTTGAATAGATGTATGATTGTATGTAGGTCCTTTATGGGCATTCTGCTCTTCATTATGCCCATCTAAAATCCCACATTTTTTGTCATTATTTGTCCATGTTTACAGCGAGGAGCACATACTTAAGTATCCTGCTAAGAATTAGGACAATCAGAATGAATATGTTCATAAAGGGAAAACTATAATGGTAGACATTTTCACAAACAGGTTACCTGCATATTCGCAAATGAATTCTCCACTTCGAATAAACTGATCCGCATGCAAGCCCCAACCTTTCCCCGGACTTCTAACGATCTTCAATCGGATCGATATACCTCTCTGGGACACTCGGTTAGAACATTCCAAATCGCAAATGCAACCCGACCCACATTCCCATCTCAACCCGGAAAAGTTCTGCCTGGAGCACGGACACCCCGCCGAATCGTTACCGCATCTCTCGCATTCACACCTAGCACCATCCTCGAGCGTCGGAGGAAGAATCAAACCTAGGTCTCGTCGTTGGAGAGGATACAAACCCCATGGCTGGCGGGGTAGGTCGTCGGAGAAACTTAGGACTTGAGTCGGAGTATAGATGAAGTAAGCATATGGATGATTGTCCACGGCGGAGTTAACGAAAGGAATGGGGAGCTTCTCGGAGTTCCTACAGGCGTCGGATGAACGGACGGCGGTAACGGATTTGGCTAATAAATGTAGTGTCTTGCAGGTTAGCGAGATGGCGGATAGCTCCGCCGGATATAGGTATGGGAGGACATAAGAAGCGGCATCGGAGAGTTGCACAATCCTGTTCGGTTTCTTTCCATTGTTGTTGGTCATTGATTTACGACACCAGGTTTTTTTTTCTTATAAAAGGAGACATTGCAGCTTTGCTTACACAGTTTAACCCTAGAAAGAAGCCCATGGAAAAAAGTGTGGATATGAAATGGACCGGGCAAGATCCGAATGACCCGCTTTCTCTTGAATGCAAAGTGCAAACAAATAAAAATCGAAAAACTCTAAAAAAAATTACAAGAAAAAATGGAACGTAAGAGTTGGTTTGATTTTGTTTTTATATAAAACAAATTACAAAATAAACGAGATTTCTAAAACGATGTTGTTATGATAAAAGATTGATTGATTAAGCATGTTAACAAAAGAATAATTAATATTTCTTTACATTTTCATCGAAAACAAAATAACAAACATTAAACTATTGTATTATTTTTCATAAGTTACTTTAAAATTTTTTTTTTTTAATATTTATCAGCATGGTAAATAATAATAATAACTAGGAGAAGCAATTTTCCTTTTGCTAATATACCTGGGATCTGATTATCTGCTTTTGATTCCTTGTTTGCCAACCATACCTCTATCATTAAAAAAAAATTATTAATTCAAGCAACCAATCAAACATTCAAACTTATATAGGTAAACCATTTTTATGAATAAGCAGTTGAAGAATTCTTATTTATAATACAGAAAATCCAACTACAATAAGTTAGACTAATGGTTCTTTTGTTTTTGTTCTTCAGTATGCTTACCATATATATATTTTTCAAGAAAACAACAGAATTAGTAATTAGCTACCTTGTTATAGGGAACCATCAGGTACAAAGACAAAGCTATAAGACAGTATAACAGAAACAATTAGAAATGCACCCATTATGCCCCAATGGAAGGCTGTTGGATGTGTTTTGAATATTTTCAACCATCGTTTATAGGTCTGGGTTTTTTTTTTTTGCTGATCGTTGTTTGATATAATATTGGAGCTTAGATGGATTCGTTACATTTTCATCTTCCAGTTTTGGTCCTATATGGGTAGTAAACGAAAATAGACAAGATAATATCAAGTGTATATTGTTTCATTTTTATGTTGTCCTCAATAGCCATTTTAAACCTTTGTCCTTGTTCTACAAACGAAATATCAAATCGCTTACTAACTTGAAAACAGGTAACTATTTACCAAAAAGTCTCTTAAGGGTACATATTAAAGTATGTCACACAAATTGGTAAAAATGGAAAACCACATTGCTATCTCTCCGGACGTTTCCGCCATACTTGGTTTGGAGGTGTGACACTGACACTGCTGAAGTCTCGCAGATAAAACTCCTGATTGATAGATTCCCGAACTGTCAACATCAAACAATACCCAATTAATAATTAGGTTCCAAGCCTAACGTCCAACTCACACTCCAAATACCCAATAGTCAAGTAATGGGCCAAAACCCAACATATGGCCCAATTTTCCAAATGGTCTTTCCTTAAGGCCCATCCAATTATTCTAGTCCAAACTCTTAGTATTCCCATGGTCCAATGTCCCACCTATGGCCCAATTTTCCAAATTGGGCCCAAGTCCTTCACAAGGGCCTTATCCTAAAGCCCATCTAATTATTTTGGTCCATTTGCTTGTTCTTGGATAGCCCATCAATAGTCCAATCACCCAAGTCTAATAGGATGACCCAACTCAAGGCCCAAGTGAAATTAGGGTTTTCACATGAAATGATGATTATGGTTAAGTGTTCTTACTTAACCTATTAAGGACTTAATCCATTAAGTCTAATTTGACTTAGGTTAATTGCAAATGATTATTAATTAATATTTTAAGCTTAATAAATAGTCCCATTGCGGGTCCCAATCAAATCCCCAAAATTAGAGTTTTCCAAACCCTAATTAGGGTTTCCAACCCAAATACTAGCCCATTAATCAAATGGTTGGGCTTTTAGGTTAATTAGGGCTTCATTGGGTCCATTAGGGTTTCATTGGGGCCTTTAGGGTTTCATTGGGCCCATTAGGGTTTCATTGGTCTCACTTTGTCCAAGCATCCCCAAATGAGTCAAAACGCAAACGAGACACACCGCCACCCAACACTGCGGTAGGAGGCGGCAACCACCACCTCACGATGGTGGTTATAAGCTTTTTATTATTATTATTCCAGCCGATTACAATACATTATAACACAATCCAAATAACACACACACAACCGCTCTGGCGGCAGATAGTGGCACGTGGTGGTGGTGGCTTTTCCGGTCAAATAAACACCCAAACACCACTCCTTGAAATAGCACATACACACCACATGAACTTGAAGCATCAACACACTTGAACCCACGTGAAACATGAATGGCGGTCCTTCGGGGTGGTAAACAACGGAACAGCAGTGGCGGTCACAGCAACAACCTTGTTATCGGCGGCAACCACCATGGCTGGCTGCCATGGTGGTTCTTCACGCCTTCCATTCGACATAAACCACGACGACAACCGCATCCCTTTGCGATCCACGAACACAACCACCATTTTACGGAGGCATGTGGCAGACGGTAACTGGAGGACACGGAACGAGGCAGCCGCTCGGAGCGGTGGTCTTCCCCAGGTAGGCACGATGCGAACTTGTATTAGACAATCTGTTCTCATAGTCATAAACTCGATTATAGACAAGTATATATAGTCTAACATACCAACTTGTATTAGACTAGGAAACTTATGACCAACTTGTCATAAACTAAACTTTTCATAAATTAGATTGTTTGGTCTTTAAGTCATCGTTGGGTTAGTATTCCAACATGATTTGGTTAAAGTTGAATTCTAAGACCTTGGAATCGAATGTCTTTGGTTTGTATATCGATTTTGACTGGAAGAACTTGGAAAACGAAATTCAAAGTTCTTGAGTCAAATGGCCATATACGAAAATCTGGAATTAAAAGTATAGAGAGTCGACATTGAAAGCCAAATGTCCAATGGTATCGAACATGTTTTCTGTTTGGTAGTCAAAATTATGGAATCAAATGCGATAAATGACGATTTCGATTTTGGGATGAAGAGTCGAAAGTCATTAGCTTGGAGTCGAACTTGATTTCGATGGTATTGTTAATTATGGATTTGAGTCGAGAGTAGTTCATTCGACTGATGAAGCCTCTTCTTTCGCGTTGGGGATATCGATTAGGGAAGAACATATCACTATTCCGTATCTGGTCCCTCATATTTCAATGTTTTGACAATTTCTACCCAATTTCGATAATGGAGAGTATTTTCACATCCGGAGTAAATTGGGAAGCTCAAGACACAATTTTTCGCAATGGTTCCCTGCAGTATTTGCCAAAATGACAATGTGTACAAAGTTTTCGAATTTCTTATAACTCTCACCCAAAAGTCGAAATCTTCACAACTTTTGAAGATTTTTTCCTCGACTTTTCGTGATTGTTTTTTCGTGCAAGATTTTCGTGGTTTCATTTTTGTCACACATCGAGGGGGAGTTTCATATGGTTTATTCCTCGAGCGCTCCTCATATTCTTGTGGGTTTTATAATCATTTGTTGATTATAAAAAGGGGATAATGTTGAAATAGTTATTGAAATATTATTGGATATTCTTTTTCAAATCGGATTTGAAGATCAGTGTTACTTTGAAGGGGAGTTGGTCTTTATCACTTGGAGTTCGTTTGGATATTGAAGCCGAGACATTCAATCCTAACTTTGAGGGGGGATAATGTTAGGGTGGAAAGTTCTCCTTGGACGTGGTTTACCCTATTTGGATATGTAACGAGTTTAACATTTCCTAAATAGGAAGTGATTAGCTCCCATTTCATGTAAAAACCTATATGAGAGATTAGTCTAGTGAGAGAATTATGAGAGGTTAAACGAATTATTTACATATTTATGTTCTTCATAGTTGATCGATTCACTTAATCTTTACATTTCCGCATTCGTCATCATGACCGAGTCATTACACTAGCGCTTCATGCACGATTATTTTGATGAACACATGATTTTTAAGGCTATTTTTTTCAACGTCAGTTCCTTATGCACGTACATTTGTTTTAGAGTATAGTCAACGATGTCACGAAAGCATGCTCATATTTCCAACAATGCGCATATGTAAAAGGTATATAAGTTTTACTCCCTTATAAAAATACATAATTGTATTTTGTATGCTAGGATATGCCATTTTTTCCCAATGCATTAAATGAGAATTTGATTATTAATTTAATTTCTAGTAATTACACATGTTAAAAAAGAATTGTTAAACTTTAATTTACGAATAATGTGAAACCATTTCTCCTAATTTTTTTTTACGTAGGACGTGTTCGACAAAACTAACTGGTAACGGTTAGCAGATAGCTGGTAGCAGGTAGCTTTTGATTTTGAAGTTTTTTGTTGAAAGTTACTCCATGTAGCTTTTCATTTTGGAGCTTTTTGTTTAGGCTAAAAGCTAAACGCTCATGTCGTCGAACAAAGTTTTTTCTTTTTAACTAGCGTTTTCTTAAAACCTAGAAGTTAGAAGCTCTCAAAAACTGCGTGCCGAACACGCCCGTAATATTGCAAAAATGTGGCGACTACGTGGTTTTTATATGGGTCCTTTTTGAAATGATAGGGCTTTTATCCAGATAAAAACACATTAGGGACAATTTCGCAATTTCAGGTGAAAGAATTTTTGCCGAAAACCAAAAACGAATGTCCTCTTATGAAATAGTTTTGATAGTGCCAGGGGCTTAGTGCGAATAATCGTTCGAGTTTTGAGGGAGCACACACATACGCCCATTCGATGCATAAATTTGGGCGAATTCAAAGCGTCTCGCTCCCTTCGTTTTCGAAGGAAAATCAGAGACGATAATGGCAACTACGATCACTCTTAGTTCCACTTGTACGCTTTTCCTATTATTCACTTTGCACGGATTCTTTTGGCTCTCGTTTTGCTCTGATCACGTCCCTCTTCCACTTAAAGGTACGCCTTTTTCCTTGTTGTTGGGTATTTTATCATTACAGTAAAGTAATTAAAGAACAATACGAATAAACTTACAATGAGAACTGGTATTTTGTGTAAATTGGGTTTACATCGATAAGTTTGGATCGAGAAACGTATCAGTTGTGGGTGTGATTGGTTAAAGTATAATTTATGAAGTAAATTTTCTTATAAAGATGCTCAATTTTAGGGTGTTCATGATGTAATTTTTTATGTGTATTTTTTGTTTTATTTTGCAAGTTTCAATCGAAGGCACTATCACTTGCGACAACCACCGGTCTTCATTGTTGAAATTTGTGTCTTTCAGGAAGTTCACAGTATGATAAGAAATTTAGAAACAATACTTAATAGATAAAATATAAATAGTATTTTTCATGATTCTCAACTTGCCCCTACACTCGCAAATTTGCATTGAGGCACATGTGATTATGCTGGTTGGGTGATGAAAGTTTGATTCTGAGTAGTTAATCTACTTCCATAAAGGAAAATTTAGTGTTTCTTCTGTATAATACAAATGGGTTTGTATTTACTTGATCCAACACTAACATTTTTGTATCAAGTCACATGTTGATTGATCAAAGCTTCTGATATAAGTAGTCAAATTGCTTATAAATATGTTAGGTTTAGGCTTTTCTTGATGATTTTTTAACATGTTAGTTTTACGTTCAAGAATTTGTGATGCATATCAAAAAACTTGCATCCTTTCATATACCAATCACTCTCTTCATTTTCAAATTCAGCCATTGATGTGGGACAACCAGCTGTTGATGTCACCCCTACACAAATTCATGTCTCCTCTCAAGGATCTAAAGATGTTGCATTTTGTGAACGTGTTACTATACATGGCATATCAAGAATAAAACTCCATAGTTATGCCAAAGCATATCGAGTAACAGTGGTTCCATCAGTTGTGATCCCTGACAAATGGCATAACAAGATTCAAATATGTTTCCACCAGTAAGTAATAGTCTTCCATTTTTCCCTGATCTTTCTTTTCGTTTTTCATGACATTATCATTGAAATTTCATGGTTATGCAGGAATGCTTCACTCGGGTTATGCCAATGTGAAAAAGATGATTGGAGATTTATTAAAAAGGGTTCATGGAGTTCCATTATGTCACCATTTGAGCAAAAGTTTGTTGATGTGAAGTTTGTTGGTGGGGTGTCTGGCTCTGTAACTGTCACTCTTGATGAAGGTCAGGTGTTTGTTTGGATTTCCTTTTATATTTCCACAATTTATCCAAAATTGGTAATTTTTTCAAAAATTATAGTGTTATCTTTTTAGCAATTTCTATACCTGACCTGTTGACATTAGGTTTTAAATGTTTGTTTCTTGCAGTGTCACAGGGATGGAGGTATGTCTTACTTGCAGTGGGATTTGCTTTATTATTCTTGGCACCTATTGTTAGCACGTGGGTCCCCTTTTACTATACCAGTTCTATGGCTATTGGAGTTTTTGCTGTTGTTCTCATAATCCTTTATCAGGTACATGTGTTTTTTTGTCACTTTATTCTGTAAAGAAAAACATCAATATCAAGTTTTTAATCTATAACTAGAATTCTTTGTGTTACATAATTATTTTTCTAACTATATCATCTTTGATATTCACAGGGGATGAAATTATTGCCTACTGGCAGAAAAAGCGCCTTTTATTTAAGTATTTATTCCACATTGGTAAGTGCCCTGCAGTTTGCATCCATTTCTACTGCCTTTTATTTAAGTATTTATTTATTTATTTATTTATTTTTCGTTTTATTTTCAATAATTTTCAGCTTGGAGCAGGATCTTTTCTGGTTCATTATGTCTCTGAGTTTGTCAATTCAATCCTTGCAAATTTTGGACTCAGTCAAGAGCTGCAGAATCCGGTGAATATTTTCTCAGAAAAAAATGGAACCGAAATTGATTAATTATATAAAAAATATATTTTACATTTGAAAATTTTTCAATAATCTGTTTTAAATTGAATAAGCATTAAATATACTAGATTAAATCCACACATTCAAAACTATTAAACATCCCTTTTAGTTAGAAAACAATCTAGTACTAATAACATGAGTAAATTACAAATTTGGTCCCTGTCGTATACTGTCTTTTCCGAGTTTAGTCCAAGGGCAAAACGGTCATTTAACAAAAGATAGCTGGGAGATTAGTTTTACCCCAAAGCCTAAACCCTAAAATGTTTTGCTGTTTATACTTTTGCAAAATTGGGCAAGTAGGTGAAGAATGTATGAAACTAATTACATATGTGCCCTCTAAACCCTAAACTTTAAACTAATTACGATTGTGCCCTCTAAACTCACAGGTTTCCGTATTTATGCTGCTTGCCATCATACTTTTAGGAGCGGGACTTGGTTATTGGCTGGTGCGCACTTATGTTATTTCAGAAGATGGTGACGTGGACATTGGCATAGCCCAATTTATCAAATGGGCAATGCGTGTGATTGCAGTCACATGTATTTATCTGGTCAGTTATCTCATTAATTTAATCATATTATCACATAAATACTTTATGTTATATGATATAATTCAATTTTTTATTTTATTACAGAGCTCTATTGACACTCCTTTGGCAATGGTAGCTGTTGGTTCTTCTATATCACTATACTACATGATTACTTCTATCAAGTGGCACAATCATCAGTAAGTTCTAACTTTTTTTTGATTAATTTGAATTACAAGATCTTGATGATGTTATTTTTATGTAGAGGTCCGTTGAAATCTAAAAAGTCAAAGATCTGGGAAAGGAGTGGTCAACGCACACCAAAGATTGGGCGTGCTGAATTTCTTAGAAGGCCGAAAAAGATTAGTCCATGGAGTGCTCCGATGAATTCATTTGCTTCCCCAGTCAAAGGTACTGATTGTGATTTATAAGGGTTTTTTAGACATTTGACGGATGTATATATTTGTTAAATTGATGAAGGAATGGTGAACAACACATCGGGAGGTAGAGGGTCAGCGGAAAGTCAACATGACTTTTACTCAACGTTTCACAAGACCCCAAACAGAAAAAAGTTCTCAAAGAAAGAATGGGAGGAATTCACAGAGGAATCAACCAGAGAATCAGTTGCTGACCTGGCATCTTCGCCTGAATTCACTGATTGGGTGATGAAGAACGCCAACAGAATCAAACTACTTCCTGATAATGGCTCAGGTAATGAAGTGAGTGGCTCAGATTCTACAGATGGATATCTTTTAAAGAATGCAGATAAACGTAATTTTTTCAGCTGGAAAAGACGCCAGTGAAGTTATTATTAATCATGGATTGTGGGTTTTTTTTTGGTTGTAGAAGAAAATTTGTGTAGTTTTTAGTTATTGTTCTTGTTCTTGGAATGTGGATCTCATGGGATACTTTCAATCGAATGTACAGTTCTCATTGAATGATGTACAGATCGCGAAGATAAAACCTCCACATAATAGACATGTCACCTATCAATAAATGGTTAGTTATATGCCAACATTAGTGATGATTAGAGAATAACTATTAACCCTTTTCAAGTTATAAAACTTTAATTAAAACAATGAAGAAAACTAGATATATCGTTACAAACAAAGACAAATTATTCTCGATTATGTTAGTGGAATTTGGTACTTCAAAATTGAATACTTTAGTTAGTGATTTTGATAACAACCCCCATTTTCTTATGAACTTCATGTTAGTTTTCTTAGTAGAAAAGGGAAAAACAAGAACGAGAGTAGCAACACATTTAACTCCATAATGCAGTTGATTATTTCATTATGTAAAATATCAACAGAAATATATACTTGGCCTATATAATCTTAAGCCATCCAATCTGTGAATCTAATCCGACTGGGTTTTTCAACCTACCAAAACATTTATTTCAATAAACGTATATATTGTTAGTTTCTACATTTTGCTGTATTGTTTAAAAAAAAAATCAAATTATTTGTTTCATATCATGAATAGAGATTGAAGATTGAAGTTATTGATATTCTGTTGCAGCTTTTGAGCTCCAATGATCTATGGATGTATAGTCATCTTGCCTACAACGGTATGGTCATTGGACTTGGTATAATACATGATTTGGTGATTCTACATTACCTTTTTTTATTCATTTTTTTAATCCAAAACTAGATATGCTTCTATGTTCAACCTTTATGGTTATTTTTCATGAACACGATACCTTGAATGCTTATGGGTATGAACTTTCTTTGATTTTCTCATACTTTTTGTTTCTCTGAAATCGTCAAGTTCATTTATTTTTGCTTTGACAATATTGGTACATTGATTAGTGTCAGTAATAGCAATTGAATTTCTACCATGGTAACTAATATTGAGAAAGTTGGTGTTGTGAATGGTTCGGTTACATACCACAGAACTAGACAGGTTGTGAATGTGGATGAAGAAGAAGAAGATTTACATGACAATCTTATTACAATATTAGTACCGCGTTGTTTATTGTCTTACATTTTAAGGTAAAAAATATATTTTTAAAAACTTTTTGAAACAGATAGAATTGGTATCACGTTGCAGCTCTGTTGGTTTGGCTTCGATGATATGTTTTAGGGTTTAGGAGAAAACAAATATTCAATTGGGTAGGTTTTTGAAAGTACAATATTGTAATAGGAAGAAATGAAAGTAGGATGCTATATTAAACTAATTAACGAAAGTTTACTGCTATTTCTTGCATCTAGCCATAATTTAATGTGTTATGTGATGTAAACCTTCAAAGCTTCAACATTCTGCACCAAATTGATACTTAAGTCATCAGGTTGTATAAACAAATTGTCATATGCAAGAGTATCTACATAATGGGGTTGTTTTTTGTTTAGGGTTTCTTGCTAAATAAAATTAAAAAATAAAATTAAACTGGATTTGGATCGACTCTTTATGAAAATTTAGTAATTCTATATTTGGTCCAAACATATTAAAAAAATAAAATTAAATTGGGTACAAAATTCGTAATAGAGGTAAAAAACAATTGACCCAACATTATTAAAAAAGAAAAGTAGGATGACATCCACTAATATCATATTACAGACTAAAACTTATGCCTATCATCAATTTTGTGACCTTTTTAGTTTTTTTTTAATTTCCGTGATAGATAAAAGGCCCATTTGACGAAGTGATGAATAATGTGATGACTCTAATATTATTGTAGTTTTTTACAACAAAACCACATGCTCGTGATCCTTCAAGTTTGCCAAAATATGCCCCTTGCAAAGACAAGACACTGATGCAAGACAAGGTATGTGCATCTTTAGTTCATATCTTAACTATAATTGTATACCTTCATTAAACCCAATTTTTAATAATTGAAAATGTTGTAGACAAAAAGTGGAACATAAAGGCCAAAAGGTGGAAAAGGAAAGTCGATAACTGAGAGACCCTCGGGAAGTTCCATCTCCTCATGTTGGAAGAAAAAATTGAGAAAATTATGTTGATCAACACATCAGTTGAAACGGACATATAACACTTCACGATACTGTTGTGTGGTGTTGTTTACTCGATTCCTTGTGCTGTTTGTTCAAAAATTAGAAAGCATACATGATACACCTGATGTACTTATCTCTCTAAGTACATGTGTATACTAGAGCAAATGGTTGGATTTTTTTCTATTACACCGTGCTTTCATTTTCTGTAGCATAGGGATGTTGAACACGACTCTTAGTGTGGGAAACAACAAGACTTTTATTAAGACACTTAAGAAGAACTTTACACTTTGAGAGACTACTAGATACTTCTTTCTTTGAGGCTTTTTTTTTTTGGATACTTAGATGTTGGATTATTTGGAGCAAATGAGCTCCACACCTATTTATAGGTGTTTCCACCTCCTTATAGGAAGTTTCTAGATCTACATACATTCATGGCTATTCTAGAACTATCTACCATATTCTATATCTGTTACAAGCTTTTATATGTTTCTAGAATGTTCTATAATGTCCTAGATAAGTATAGACATTCTTGTGTCTTCCATAGTGTTCTAGAATGTTCCATAGCCTTCCAGGGTCTTCCATCTCGTTCTAGAGTATTCTAGAATCTTCCGGCATCTTCAACACTTCCCCATAGTATTCCATAATGTTCTAGAATCTTCCAGATCATTCTAGAACATGCTAACTTCTTCTAGACAATAACATGATTCTATTGGGCTAGTGATGACCTTCAACACTCCCCCTCAGCACTAGCCCCTATTCGTTGTACCATGTTGAGCTGATAATTAAAGCCCTCATATTTGTCAGTACTTAACCCTTTATGAACTCTATTTGCTACTTGGTCATTAGTCTTGATATGTTTCATATTGACTTCTTCCTTGAGAACTTTTTCTCTTCCACATGTTTTGTTTTTCCTTAGTTGTTGCAGTCGTCGCTTCGTATATTGTTTCCATAGTTGACAACGACATTCGTGGTTGCCTTTTGTTGCACCATAATATTGTCTGTGACCCCGTTGAACTCTCTTATATAGTTTCTTATGCCTCCCGTTGGAGAACTTGTAAGCATGTGGGGTGTCCCTTTTACAAGCCCTGGAAAATTCCTGTAATATTAACATGTTATGACGTGATCCCTTATTGATCTGATCATCTCGTTTAGATGTTGCTTGGTTGAGAGATTTTACTTTGCTCTTACGAATTAATGTGTTTTTCTTCTTATTCGCCTTATCAGGTTTCTCCATCACATGTTCCACTTTTCGTCTAAGATGCAAGTTTTTATGTAACCCTAGTGACATTATGTTCTTCTTCTCCTTCGGAATGTCCATCTTTGAGGGAACAATTTCCTCCTTCAAGGCTGTCATAAACTTTGCCTCACTCTTCTTGAGACCTTTGTCGAGTTGCATAGTTGATAGGATTTGGGATCCAATCCTATTTCTCTTCAAGGGTACAATGTGAATTATTGAACCCTTAGTGATACGCATGGTATCATCTCTCTCAAATGACCAGGGTCGTACGTTGTCTAGGAAATCCATTCCCAATACCATACGATAGTCATCCATATGCACCACTGTCAAGTCTATGGTGCCTTCCCATTCTGCTATCTTAAGAGGTACTCCATATGCAACACCAATGATAGGCTTGGATAAAGAGTTGATGACTTTCAACCGGCCTGGATTTTTGGTGTATTTGATGCCCAACTTTTTAGCTTCATCTTTAGCAAGGAAATTATGGGATGCACCTGTATCTACGAAAGCCTTGGTGTATCCTCCATTTACCCTGGCATCCACGAACATTAGCCTTCCTCTTTTAGTCTTATTCTCTTCTATAGCACATAGTGCCTCAGCATCCCATTCATCCTCTACTTCCTTTTTGGAAGTTACTATATTGCTTTCCACAGACTTTTTCTTTGACCAACAATCCTTGGACATGTGGCCCCACTTTCCACAATTGTTGCAGTTGCCTTCGAACCTCCTCCCCCGAGAACTCTTATTGTCGGTCTTTTGAGATCTCCATGGTTGTGAGGTTCCTTGGCTGACTCTTCCCTTTGTCAGCATTTTTGTATCCTTCTTTAGAAGGTGGCTTGAAATTCCTCGACTTTTACTTGTGTAGAGTGCTTCTTCTTCACTCTTCAGCGTGATGCCTCCCATTTGCTTAGCCATAGCTTCTTGGCTGGCCAACAAATTTCAAACTCTACAAGTGATGGTTGAACGGGCCATCCTTGTACAGCAGTAACAAAGCTTCTATATTCCGGCCTTAGTCCATGGATAATGATCCTCTTCATTCGAGCTTCTGCAATGACGGATTGCGGATCTAGTTCAGTAATCTCCCGACATATCGACTTGACCTTGTGGAAATATTGAGCAATCGTCATGTCACGTTGTGAGATTGATAATAGCTCGTTCTCCAAAAGTTGTAGTCTCGTATCATTCTTCTTTGAGAAAAGCATCACAAACGTGTCCCAAGCTTCTTTCGGGGTGTTCTCATCCCGAATATGCTCCAACATCTCTTCTTCGATTGTGGTCTTCAAGGCAAACATTGCTTTGCCTGCTTTGATTTTCCATTTGCGCAAAGCACCATTAACGTCTTCCTCTGGTGGCGTAGTTTCGCTTCCACCAACGACCTCCCATAGATCTTGTCCTTGTAAGTAGGACTTCATACATGTTTCCCACGTTTTGTAGTTGTTGTTGTTGAGTTTCTTGATTCCTCCGACGACTTGGAGATCACCCATCGTGTTGGCAGTACCTCGGTAATACCAAACAAGCTAGTTTCGAAACTAAACTTGCAGAGTCACAAACTACTCACGATACAACGAGAATCACTCGTTCTCACTATCAAGAAACCTTGCTCTGATACCAGATTGTTGAACACGACTCTTAGTGTGGGAAACAACAAGACTTTTATTAAGACACTTAAGAAGAACTTTACACTTTGAGAGACTACTAGACACTTTTCTTTCTTTGAGGCTTTTTTTTGGATACTCAGATGTTGGATTAT